GTGTACGCAGGTGATGCTCCAGTCGATGAAGATCTGGCGGCCGCTGGCCGGGTCCCTCCCTCCCTCCCTCCCTCCCCCCTCCTCTTCCTCCTCCTCCTCCTCCTCCTCCTCCTCCTCCTCCTCCTCCTCCCCCTCCTCCTCCTCCTCCTCCTCGTCCTCCTCCTCCTCCTCCGAGTACTGGGGCAAGATCTTCGAGCGCACGCCGACCGTGGAGCAACAACTGCGGCTCAACCAGTTTCTCGACAGCTTTGCCCCGCAGCTGCCCGTGGTGGAGCTCCCGCAGCCGTCGCTGCACTCGCTGGAGCGTGCCGCACAGCGGGCCCCGCCAAGCGCCCCTGGGCCTGACCAGCTTCCATACGCAGCGTGGTGGCGCAGCCCTGGGGCCCTCCTGCATTTACATGCTTTGATGGAGCAGCTGTTCAACGAGGGCGTAGGCCCGCATGACATCAACTGGGCGCTCTTCCTCTGCGTGCCGAAGGGGGCGGAGGATGAGGACACACCCGACTCGTGTACGCGTACGGCTTCCACAGTTCGCACGCTCTCCCTCAAGAGTGCGGACGCCAAGCTCATTGCTGCCTGCGCGGATCGCGCCTTGCAGCCCATCGCCACCGTCGCGACGGAAGGGGTGCAGAAGGGTTTCACTGCTGGTCGACGCTTCGTGGACCACATCCCGTTCCTGGACGCGGAGTGCCGCCGCGAGGGGCTTCCCCCTGGCGCAGATCTGCGTCGCCCGATGCTGCTCTCCTTCGACTTCAAACAGGCCTTCCCGTCCCTCTTCCGCGACGTGATCGACATCGTGCTGCCGAGGTACGGCGTGCCGCTGGGCTACTGCAGTGCGATCTCGGCGCTGTACTGCAATTGCCTCGCCTTCAGCTCCTTCCGAGTTTCTGGAGGCAGCGCGGCGATGGAGCCGCTCTTTGCCCTGAGGTGCGGCATCATGCAGGGGTGCCCCCTTTCGGGCACGGTCTGGTGCTCGGGTATGGACGCCCCGATCCGTGCTCTGATAAAGGCGCTAGGTGACCCCCCTGAAGGCTGCCTCACGGCGTGCGCGGACGACCTGGGCATGCTCATCCGCAATGCCAAGATCCTCCTTTCCATCGCCGGCTCTTTCGGTGACATCGAGTTTGCCTTCAACCTCCAGCTAGCGATCCACAAGCGTGTGCTGGTCCCGCTCTGGGCGGAGGTCACGCCCGACCTCATCAATGATGCCGAGACGCTCCTGGCCGAGTTGGCCCCGAGCTGGAGGGGCTTCCGCGTCGCCTCCTCGGCCAAGTACCTGGGCTCGCGCATCGGCCATGGCATCGCGGAGCAGGGCATCTGGAAGGATGCGGCGGCGAAGTGGTGGTCTCGGGCTGCGGAGCTGAGCCGCGCGGGCATGGCGGCCAGCCTTGCCGCTCGCGCCTACAACGTCAACGTGCTGCCGTGCCTGTCCTACCTGGCCCAGTATTTCTTCATCATCCCCGAGATCTGGCGGGTTGAGTCCACGGTGCTCCACCGCATCCTTCGCTTCCCGCCGTCGGCCATGCGCAAGGCGGACATCCTCTCCTTGGGGGCGTGGTGTGGCTCCCCTGCACCGATGGGCCTGCTGCCGTACTCGATCGGCACGCTCCTCCGCGCTGCGGCGCACACGGCGCGCAACTGGGTGCCCGCGCTGCACGCCCAGCAGGACGCCGCGGTCGAGAATCTCCCGCTGGTGAGCGTCCTGAAGGGCTCGTGGTCGCCGCCTTGGTGGGCCACCAAGCGCTCCATCGTTCAGAACTACGGCCTCGTGATGGACCTGTGCGGCACCCTGCCGCACCCGCGCCCTGTGTTTGACAAGATGCCCGCCCCTGTGCCGACGGCCGTCATTGAGGCGACCCGCGTCGCTATGGGCGACGAGGAGAAGGATGCCGCCCAGGCGCCCCCCCCCCTCCCCAGGAAGATCAAGCGCCAGGCCGCCGCGATGCGCACCATCCGCTACGGCCTATGCGTGGAACGCTTCGACCAGCTGATCGGCCGCCGCCTGCAGCGGTGGGGGATTGAGGTGCCTGCCGAGGAGCTGCGGAGCCGCTGGCTGGAGCTCCGCGCCGTGCTGCGCGCATCGCGCCCCGCCTGGATGTGGTCGTGGCTGCGCACCATCTCCAACGGCTGGATCACGTCTGGCAGGATGCACGTCATAGCACCCCGCCTGTGCATAATGGGCTGCGAGGCGCGAGATGACCTGTCGCACTACATTGTGTGCCCTGTGCTCCGTGGCGCGGTCGCGGCGCCAGCGGAGGAGGGTGAGCTGAGCAGCGGCGCCCTGTTTTACGGCTTAGGCCACCTGAATGAGCATTGACTGTGTTCGCGCGGTGGCGCTGGCCACGCAGCTGTTTCAGATTCTGAAGTGGCGTGCCGATGCTGGCTCGCCCATCCACGCCGCTGCTATTGCCTCTGCGCGGGTAGCAGTACTGCGTCGTCTACAGTCTCATTGCGTTTCTATCGAATCAATGTTCTGGAAGCAGACTGGCGCCAGCTGGCGGGCGCGTGCGGACTTCTTGCCCTCGTCTCGCGTCTTGCCCGCTTGCCCTCGTCTCTTCCTCTTTGAGTACGTGCACTCCTCCTCCTCCTCCTCCTCCTCCTCCTCCTCCTCCTCCTCCTCCCCCGCCTCCTCCTCCTCCTTCCCCGCCTCCTCCTCCGCCTCCTCCTCCTCCTCCCCTTCCTTTATCCTTTTCCTTGTAGACAACTTCTCCCCGTCGCACCCCCCGAGGCGTGCTGGTAGGACGGGCTCGGCGTTCCGATTGAGATTGCTTCACCATGCATGATCCTAAGTTGCAATCGTTTCACGGGTGGAAGGCGGGCCGCTTTCAAGATGTGGCTCTCGTATTAGTGCCACGCGCATTCGTCCTAAACAAATGACAGTCGTTTCACTGATGGATGACGGGCCCCTATCAACATGTGGTTTTCGCTTTGGCTCCGCGCCCATGCGTCTCATAATTTCGAAAGAGTGTCACGGATGGAGGGCGGACCGCTTCGAAATTTGGCTCTCGCCTCAGCGCGGCGAACATCCGTACTAACAAATAGCAAGGGTCTCACGGACGGATGGCTGTTTTTTTCTCAAAATGTGACTCTCGCCTCCGCGCCGCGCGCATAGGTTTTCAGCGCTTCCAGCAGTTCCAGGGATTTTCGTGGTTAGCGTCCCAAAACATGGTGTTTGGGCGCGATTTTGGATTGGCAGGGCGCAGCAGTTACGTTGGTCCGCGGTGTCGAAGTCTCAGAAATTCTAGACGCTAGGCGTATCCCCGCCACAGTTTGCGGAAGGTTCTGATCCCGCGTTCGGTCGCTGTATAATTAGGCTCGCGCGTAGCCCGCTCGACCTTTTCGGACGCCTCCTGCGCTTCCGCTTGCGGCCGCGACAAACAATATCCCCACCTTCCCATCCACAATCGATGCGTAGGGGAGCTGACGGAAGAAGGGAAGGCATCGTGGACCCCTAGCTCGGGGAGGCATCGTGGACCCCTTGCTGGAAGTGGCTCCGGGTGGTGCTAGTGTCGCTTCTTCTCCCGACGCGTCGTCGACGACGGCGACGGCGGCGGTGGCGACGATAGCGGCGGCAGCGGCGGCGACGATGGCGGCGGCGGCGACAACGGCGGCGAGGAGGAGGAAGAGGGCGAGCAAAAATGCCAGAGGTCTCTTGAATGCCTTTCGGAGCCTCTTGGGATATCTCTTGGGCGCTTCTTGGAGGCATCTTGGGACGTCTGGGGGGTCTCTTGGCGGTCCTGGGGGGCTCTTGGGCGTCTTGAGTGCGTCGGGGGGGGCCTCTTGGAGGCCTCTTGGAGGCCTCTTGGGGCCATCTTGGCGCCTCTCTCTTGGGGCCATCTTGGAGGCGATCGATCAAAAAAAGGGGGTTCCTTAGTTAGCACCGCCCCTCGGGAACCCCTAACATAGCCTCCTGGACCCCTCTTGGGGCGCTCTTGGAGCGCTCTTGGGCGCTCTTGGGGCCGTCTTGTGGCCCTCTTGGGCCCCTCTTGGGGCTATCTTGGGCCCTCTTGGAGCCATCTTGGGCCTCGGAAGGCCATCGGAAGCGAAGAGGCGAGAAGGCACAAGTCATTGGTTTTCCTTAGGTTTTTGAAGGATTTTGGCCTCTTGGAGGACTCCTTTGGGAGCTATCCCCTTGGAGCCGTCTTGGGGCGGTCTTGGGGCTTCTTGGAGCATCTTCAGAGCCATCTTGATGCATCTTGGCCCATCTTGAGCCATCTTGGATGTCATCTTGGGCTTTCCGAGGCGCTCTTGGAGCCGTCTTGGGCCATCTTGGACGCTCCAACGCGTCGCCGCGACCCCCGTCCAGGTCCAGGGGAGGGGGTAGGGGGAGGGGTAAACCCCTCCCCGAAGGGCAAGAAGGAGGGGTGGAAGAGGAAACTCCCTAAATCAGAGGCCAGCAACATATGTACACGTACGCGGTTCGCTTCTCCTGGAGTGCATGTCAACGCGGACGTTCGTGCAGGCAAGACCGTGGAGGGCGTACATGTACATATGTCGTTGCTCGCCCACTAAACCACCTACGCCCAGAGGGCTGGTGGGATTGTGTTCTAGCATGGCTCAGGATTGTCAAGGCGCCACAGTAACGGGGATTCGTGACGTTGAAGTCCAAGGAACTGGTGTTCTGGCACAGTTCAGGACTTTCAAACGGTTGTCTTCCAACGGGGCCTTTCTTTCAGGGAAAGTGAACCCTTACAGGGGCCTGTAAAGAGGAACTTTGAGGGAGGGTTTACTGCAATCTCGTTGATGAGCCTTGTGTTTGCACTGGTCCTCCGCCCGCTCTTCTTCTTCTTCTTCCTCTTCTTCTTCCTCTTCTTCTTCCTCCTCCTCCTCCTCCTCCTCCTCCTCCCCCTCCTCTTCCTCCCTCTTCCTCCCTCCTCCCCCTCCTCCCCCCCCTCCTGCCCGTCCGCCTCTCGCGCCCGCTCCCCTCCTCCGTCCGCCTCCCGCGCGGCGGAGGGAGGAGGGCTGGCCCTCGCGCGCCCCCTTCTCGCCGCGCGCCCGAGGTGAAGCGCAGACCGCTGTCGGAGGACGCCTCCCGCGGGCCTCTCCCCCCCAGTCCGCCCACTCGGAGGAGGAGGCGGAGGAGGAGGATGAGGAGGAGGAGGCGGGGAGGAGGAGGAGGAGGAGGAGGAGGAGGAGGAGGAGGAGGAGGAGGAGGAGGAGGAGGAGGAGGAGGAGGAGGAGGAGGATGAGGGACAAGAACGAAGACGACGACAAGGATGACGACAAGGAAGACGAGGACGTCGAGGAGGACGATGAAGATGATAACGAGGAGGGGTGTGTGAGGCCTCGAGCTTCGAGGTTTTCAGGCGTTTTCGTCTGTTCTCGGCGGCTTTCAAGGATCGGGGTGCCCTCTGGCAGCAGCGCCTCGCCGAGAGCGTTCTGGGGGTGCACGGATCGTCCCCAACGGCCGCTGGAGAGCCGAGCTGTGGCCCGAAAACCATGGGGCAGCGTAGGGGGGGTACGCTCAGGGGGGGGCGCATCGACCCCCCATCGCGCATTCATCGCTGATAGGGGCCCGATAGCCCACCCCGCCCAGGAGCGTGCGGATTTGTAATGGAGGGCCTGTCGCCGATCTATCGGCGATGTAACACCGATTCCAGCTGGCCCCCCTTCGTTTACCCCCCTTCGCCCAAGAGGTTAGAGGTTCGAGGTGCGAACCTCTCGTGTGCTTTCGTTGGTTCTCGGCGGTCTTCAGCTCCTGGGTGCTATCCAGAACTTGCCCCCCCCCCGCCCCCCTTCCCCGCCCCCGAGGCTTGAGCTTTGCGAGCGCTTTCGTCGGTTCTCGGCGGTCTTCTGGCCCAGGGATGCTCTCTATAGCAATAGCAACTCTCCCCCGCCCGCCCCCGAGGTGGGAGGTTCGGGGTGTTCGGGGCGCCATCGTCGGTTCTCGGCGGGTTCCCCGCTTCGGGGCGCTGCCCAGCAGCTGCGCCCTGCAGAGCGCGCTCTGGAGGTGCCGAGATCGGCCAATCGGTCCGGGAGCGCGCGAGCGCCACCGCCCGTCGTTCCTCCCTCTCGGCCCAGGGGCGCTCCCGCGCTGACCCCCCTGTGGTCACGGGATGGGCTCGCCCTGGGCTGCCCTTCGCCGGGAGGCAGGCGGCGCACACGGGCCGCTCCGAAGCCGCAAGCTTGCGCGCACGTCCCCAGAGGTCCGTCGGCCCCCCCCCCCGCTCTGCCCAGAATGGTCAGCGAAATCTGGTGGTCATGGTGATGGTGATGGTGATGGTGATGGCGCTGGTGGTCATGGTGGTCATGGTGGTGGTGGTGATGGTGATGGTGATGGTGATGGTGATGATGCTGGTGATGGTGATGATGCTGGTGGTAATGGTGATGGTCATCATAGTGAGGGTGATGGAGGTGATGCGCCGCAGGGGAGAGGGCGAGGGGAGGACGGCGGAGAGGCCCGCTGCGGCCGTCCCTGCCCTCGTCTCCCCCTCCTTACCCTCTCCGTGCCTGCCCCCCCTTCCCCCTCCTCCCTCTTCGCCCCCTCGCCTTCCCAGGGGCCCAGTCTTGGCAGGCGCGCCCGCCCTGGGCGCCTGGTCTTTGTTTCCAATATCCCTGGCGAGATTCGGGAAGGCCTCTTCCAGCTCCTGGGCGAGGGGAGGACGGCGGAGAGGCCCGCCGCCCGGGCCCTCAGCCCACCAGCCGCCCCTGAGGGGACGGTCTCGGGCACCCCGCGCTCTTTCTCGACTTCTGCCCCCGGGGCCCAGGCCCGTCGTCGCGGACCCCGGGGCCCTCAGAAGAGGACCTGGGACGAGATGCGGGGGCGGAGGAGGAGGAGGAGGAGGAGGAGGAGGAGGAGGAGGAGGAGGAGGAGGAGGAGGAGGAGGAGGAGGAGGAGGAGGAGGAGGAGGAGGAGGAGGGAGGAGGTTCTTTATTTTTCTCCAGTTCCCCCCTTTCCAGCGGGCCTCCCCCTTGGTGAAGCTGGAGGAAGCGGCGGGGGCCGGCCCTGCCAGTGCCCCTGCAGCTGTCTTTCACGCCCTGGCGGCCCCATCCCAGCCGTCTCCTCCGGCTCGTCTCGGCCTCTGCCGCTCTCGCGGCGCTTCCAGCTCCCGTTCTCTCCAGCCTCTTTGTGCTCGTCCACCGCCTGGGGGACGAGTGTCTGTCCCAGGACCCCTCCGCCAGAGGCCCTGGGGCATTGGCTCACCAGGCGATGGGCACGTGCAACTCGGGACCGATCCCAGCCTGAAATCGGGCATGTCCCTCTACAGGAGGAATGTTCAAACGTAATAGAAAAAATAGTAAGGTTTTTTTTTGACTTTTTTTTTGGGGGGGGGGGTATGTTTTGGGGTATTTTATATATTTCGCCCCAAATCCGCCTGTAGGAGGCCATGCCCGACTAATCCCAGCCCGGCTGGCCCCAGGGCGCAGTCGGGGCGCAGTTTTGTACCAGGGGTCAGCGCGAAAAGAGTGTGTCGGCCAATCCATTCCCAGGGCTGGGAGTAAGCTGGAGCCGCCGCGACCTCTCATCTCCCCTCCTCCCGCTGGCACGGGCTTCGGAGCTGATTATCTTTGTGGCCGGCCAGGGTCTGCGACGGAGTCCTGCTTGACCCGGGTCGGCACTGACCCGGGTCAGACCGTCCCCGACGCAGGGTTTGCCGACGCGCGCGTGGCGGGCCAGGTTGGGAGGGTGTGTATTCATCCGGTGGGTCCATGGGCGGCGCACATATCCACCTCCCCGACCTCGCGGTCTGGATGCCGAGGCGCGATCCCACAGATGCGCTCCGCGCGGGGCATCCCCGCAAGGCCACCCTGCAGGGCCGCCTGTGACCCGATCCGATGTGATTCGATTCGCCGGCCGGGGCCGCGATTCCGACTCGATTCGATTCCGCTAGGTTCACCAGCAACGGCTTGCACCAGCTGGAGCCAGGCGCGGCGGTCCGCTTCCGACTCGATGCATGACGATGCGCCAGCGATGCGATCCGTTCCCGATCCGATCCGATTTATAGCGATTCGATTTGGCTCGGTCCTGCCCTGTGTCCATGGGGTCGCGGCCGCGGAGTCCAGACCGCGAGGATTTGTGGACGTGGATGCGTTTCGCGCGGCGCAGGACGCGAGGCAGCGCCTCCTGAGAAGCCAGGGGTTCCGCTGCTTCTACTCCCTGCGACCGCTGGGGTCGGAGTTCGGCGTGGACGACTTCATCCCGTTCTCGCACCGGAGCCCACCCCGACCTTTCTATGACCTCCCCCCTCCTGAATCCTCCCCTCCCGCTCCGCTTCGAGCGCGAGTTCGCGAGCCTCCCGCCCAGCCTCGCAGGAACGTCGGCGTGGCATCGCCTGGTAGGGCGGCGAGCCCGGGGGTTTGTCGGGCGCTGGTGGTTTTTGTGGTCTGGGGAGCGGCCCTGGCCTTGTCGTCGTCGTCGTCGTCGTCGTCGTCGTCGTCGTCGTCGTCGTCGTCGTCGTCGTCGTCGTCGTCGGCTTGGTCGTCGTCCTCGTCCTCCTCGCCAGCCTGGCGTCCCTCCCTCTTCCGCTCTGTCCGCTCCTCTCTCCTGCGCCTCCTGCTCTCTCCACCCTGCCCCACCCCAGGGCCCCCGCAGCGCCCTGGACGAGTCCGCACGGCGCGCCCCTCGCCGAGCTCCAGGCCCCCCGTGGCGGACCGCTCCAGGGCCCTCGCGCAGGCAGCGCGGCCACGGCTCCGCCGCCGCCCGAACGGGGTCTCGGTGGGAGGGGCGGGCCCGGCAGCGCCGGGGGCCACGGAGGCTCCTGTTGCTAGAAGTGCCCCTGGGCCAAGGTGCTCCTGGGATTTTCGGGGCAGCTGAAACTGTCTCCAGAGCACCCCTCACGAGGCTTAGAGGGCCTTAGGGGCTTGAAAATGGGTCGAAAAGCTGGGGGCACCTTGGGCCAGGGGCACCGACCTGTGGAACAGACCAACGCCTCTGCTCAGGAGGGGCTGAAGCCCGGGGCGTCTGGCGGCGGGCGGCCGCGGCCGGGGCTGGGCGGCAGGCCGCGGCCGTCGCGCACCCGCGCCACCCGGCGAGAGCAGCGCTTTGCCGCGAAGCACCGCCGGCGCGTGGCCGAGGGCCGCGCCGCAGCGCTGGCCAACCATGTGGTGGTTGTCGTCGTCGTCGTCGTCGTCGTCGTCGTCGTCGTCGTCGTCGTCGTATTTCGATCAGCCGGGCTTGGTTCTTCGGCCGCGCCGCCGTGAGCCGGTGCAGAGCCCCTGGTGCCGATGCCTGCGCCTGCGGGCCGCGGGGGGCCCACGCACACAGAGCACGGTGCCCACGGCGCGACGTCCGTGGCGGAGGTGCGGCCGAGCGCTGCGAAGCGCCACGACCGTGTCCTGGGTCTTGCGGCGGAGTTCGCTCCTCTCGGGGCTTCGCTTCTGTTGGGAGGTCGACTCGCAGTTTGGCAAGCGGAAAAGGCCGTCAACGATGCTACGGACAATCCCGACCGTAAAACCGGCGAACCTGGAACAGGAACGCGAAGCTACTCGGCCGCGCGCAGAGGTGGGTGGCGGGAGGGGGGAAGGCTTCTTAGAGGCACCCCTGCTTCTCAGAAGGTGCGGGCCTTCTCTGTAGACGTAGGGCCGGCGCCTTCAAAGAGGCAGCCTCCTTCTAAGTAGCCTTCCCCCCTCCCCCTACCCCCTTGTGCGCTTCGCCAGCTTACTGGGGCTGAACATATGATTTTGGCACTGCAGCGCCTCCCCCCCGCCGTGTTCTTTAGGGGGGCCGTCCTCTGGGACGTCCCTACGCTCGTCTCGTCTCGTCTCGGGTGCTCTGAGAGGGTGGGGGGTTGGCCCGAGGTGGGGTCCAAGTTGGGGAGCGGACGCGGCTGGGTGCTCACTCTGCCTTCTTCCAGGGCCCATTTGGAACGGCTTGCCTCCAACCCCACACCTGCCCCATGCGGCCAAGGCGCTGGAGCAAGGTCCCCTTAAGCATCAGGAGGGGCCCCAGTCTTCGAGCTGTTCCTGAGACATCGGTCGGGGAGCCTCGCCGACGCCGAAGCGCGCCGTGGCAAGGAGCACCCCCTTCTCGTTCCTTCTTCAACGCTCCTTCTCGTTGCACTATATGATTGTGCCCGATGCGCGGGAGCGGGGGGCGCATCCGCCGCCCTCCGGGGGCGCCGCTGGCGCAGTCTGCGCCCGCGCCTCGAGGGCGCGACCGCCCTCCCCGGCGGGCGGAAGTGGCCACCACACGCACAGAGAGGCGTGGCGCCGCTTGCCGAGGTCGGCGAGGCGCAGCTGCCAGACGGGATCCCGAGGCTGGAGAGCCGCGCGAAACAAATGGACGTGCCCGAGCGCCCTGCCAAACAGCTTCCCGTGCCCAAGGGCCCAAGGGACGGGAGGCCTCCCCTCAGCCGCACTCCGCCGCCGCGCGCCTCTCCCCAGGGGTCTGCGGGCGCAAACCGAGAGGCGAACGCAATAGCGATGCGCTCGAGCGCGGAGGAAGCGGCGCGCTCGCGCGCGCCCGCGAGCGCGACCGCGCGCGCGTAGGGAACGCACGCAGTCGCTGAGGCAGCCCCGCGCGGAGCGGGGGTCGCTGGCCGTCCGCCGCCTGCCTTGATGGTAGCTATCTGCCGATCGTGACGGCGACAGAGGTTGTTCTGCCTCTCTTCTTCTGCCCGGGCAGGTCTTCCGTCCAGCAGGGTATCACCAGAGCTAAGATATCGTTGAGCCATGCCCCACCTGTACCAGGCCATGGTATCTCTCAGCCCCACCATCTTCCAGTTGGGGATTGCTTCCTCGAAGCCCGAAGGGAACGGCCTGCATCCCCATATCTAGGGGTGTATATTGGCCAGTGAGCCCAAGGCCATGACAGTGGGGACGGGGATCGGTTAGACGCTGCTCAAGGGCAGGGTTGGCCCTCCTCGGCCTCGCCATTGCCAGGCCTGGGCTGGCGGAGCATCCTGCGAAAGCGCCAGCCCCAGGCCTTCGGCGGGGGAGGGGGGTAGCCAGCGTGGGTGCCCAAGGTGTCGGACCCCGCAAGGGATTTCGTGCCCAGCGTTGGAGCAGTCGGAGTTCGAGGATCCCCCGCTTCCTCTCTGGTTGTCGGACTCCTGTGCCTCGGCTACACCCGAGAGTGATCTTCCGCCAGAGCGATCTTCTGGTGCGGGCACACTGGGGTCCCCATATGGCCGAACGCGACGCCACAGCAGCGGCTTCCGTCCTCGGGCTTAACGCCCCCGCGCCCCCCCGAGAGTCCCGCACCATAGGTCACTCTTGCCCAGGGTCACTCTCACGTGCAGCCGATGTGCCCGAACGGTGTCCTGGCTCCTCGGCGGCATGGGCGAGAACCCGATGCTGGTCGAGGGCGCCCTCGAGCGAGAGTTTGACGAGCTCCAGCGCCAGCACGACTTCGACAGGGTCACTCTTGCGTGTAGCCGACTGCCGCAGCGCGGACAGGACTGCCGACCAGCAGGCTAGGGCACTGGTGCCCAGCCGGGGCCCATAGGTCCCCCCCCTCCTCCTCCTCCTCCTCCCTCCTCCTCTCCTCCTCCTCTCCTCCTCCTCCTCCTCCTCCTCCTCCTCCTCCTCCTCCTCCTCCTCCTCTCCTCTCCTCCTCCCTCCTCCTCCTCCTCCTCCTCCTCCTCCTCCTCCTCCTCCTCCTCCTCCTCCTCCCCCTCCTCATCGCTATTTGCCTCCTCCTCCTCCTCCCTCGCATCATCCACCTCCCTCGCCTCCTCCTCCTCCTCCTCCTCCTCCTCCCGGAGGAGGAGGAGGAGCAGCAGCAGCGGGAGATGGAGGCGAATGATCAGGAAGGTAGTGGGAGAGTGCTGGAGGACACAGTGCGTGATCCCACGAGCTTTCAGTGGGGGCTCTCCACGGGCAGCTCGTCTGCCGGGGAGGCCCGAAGACTAGGCCCTGCCCGTCAGGACCCTGCCAGCAGCCCGCACAACCTTCTTCGTCACCGGGACGCCCGAGTAGCAAAGAGCTACCGTTCCGAAGACGATTCGCACGGCGAGCGCCTCAACAGACGTGCCAGCAAACATATTGAACAACCGCATGCATCTATGCATCTGACCTGCTCGTGCGCTGGAAAGTCTTCCTGTGTGATGACAAGCACAAGGCGGTTTGCGTCTCTCCTGTAGGCGCATCCACTGCTGGCGAAAAGCCGAATTCCGGCAAGGTTCCCCCCCCGCCCTTGCGGGCCGGATCGCAAGGTTTGCAAAATTGACGCGCGTCCGTTGTCGCCGGCTTCCCACGCACTGAGCAAATGAGCAGCGACAATTCAGGTCGCTTATGCATGCAGAGGGATTGCTTTTCACTGCGCGAGGCGCCGCCCTCGGAAAATGAGCGGCCCGTGGTTGCACAATTCGGGCGCGAGTTCCGTTTTTTTTTTTTTTTTTTTTTTTTTTTTTTTTTTTTTTTTTTTTTTTTTTTTTTTTTTTTTTTTTTTATATATATTGAAATAATTGAAAAATATATAAAAAAGAAAAAAGGGATGGGAGCTCCGTTTTGAAAGGACCTGCCCATCACCCTTCGAGCTATATGGAGTGTGGCAAGGTAGGGCCAAACAGTTCAAGGACATGCTCAGCGACATCTACGGGTTGAAAGGACCCGTACCCCGATAGCTGCTACACCATGTGAGGCTGATCATCAAATCCAGCGATATCTCAAGCGATATTTTCCATTTTGAAGAACACCACGCTCCACCCGTGCAACTGTTTCACACTTTTTTCGTAGGTGGTACTCACTTTTGAAGAAGTACCAGGCGTGAGTTCTTGGAAAAGAGCTGCCCTCCACCCGTGTTACTTTTGCTTTATAATATTCGACGAGTGTGCGCCGCGCCAAGGTCATAGCCATAACCCGATATTGAAAACGACTCGCACTTCATTCGTGTAGCTTCTGGATGTGCTGAGGCGAGTTGCTGCGGCGCCAATGCGAGAGCCCCGTTTCGAAAAGAACTGCTCTCCGCATTCGTGGATGTTGTCAGAGTGAGGGGACCGAACGGTCATTCTCGTCCCTGGGTGTGTGGCTGAAGTGGGGTTCCGCGGTGCGGATCGTTATTGCGTAGCGTTGCGTTGCGTTGCTGTCGTCGTCCCTCTCGCGACCCGGCCCGCGATCCACCCGCGACCCGGCCGCGACCCATCCCACGCGCGACCCACCCTCGACCCGACGCGTGCGGTGTGACAGGGAGGAGCCATCTACGTACTACGTATGTTTAAGAGGGATGGAGGAGGAGGAGAGGAGAGGACCGCAGAGAAATGGGGTCAGAAGGCAGGAGGAGAAGGACAATGAGGTGGATGAGAAGGAGGGATCAGGAAGGAGGCGGGACGATGATGATGATGATGATGATGATGATGATGATGATGCTGATGATGATGATGATGATGACGATGGTGATGCTGGTGGCGATGGTGATGATGATGAGGATGAGTATGACGATCGTGTTGATGGTTATGGTGATGGTGATGACGATAATGATGATGACGATGAGGATGGATGAAGATGAAGATGAAGATGAAGATGAAGATGATGATGATGATGATGATGATGATGCTGATGATGATGATGATGATGATGATGATGATGACGATGATGGTGATGATGATGATGATGATGATGATGATGATGATCATGATGATGATGGTGATGATGATGATGTTTATGATGATGATGATGATGAAGGTGAATCATCTGATGCTGATGATGATGATGATGATGATGATGGTGATGATGATGCTGATGACGATACTTGTTGTGGTGGTGATGATGCGGATTATGATTATGTTTATGATTATGATGCTGATGATGATGATGGATGATGATATTGATGATGATGGTGATGACGATGATGATGATGATGCTGCTGTTGTTGTTGTTGATGATGATGATGGTTATGGTGATGAAGCTGATGATGCTGATGATGCTGTTTTGCTGCTTATGTTGATGCTGCTGCTGCTGCTGATGATGATGATGATGATGATGATGATGGTGATGTTGCTGCTGCTGATGATGATGCAGCTGCTGATGCTGCTGCTGATGATGATGATGCTGATGATGATGATGCTGATGATGATGATGATGATGATGATGATGATGATGCTGATGATGCTGATGATGTTGATGGATGATGATGATGATGATGATGATGATGATGATGATGATGATGATGATGATGATGATGATGATGATGATGATGATGATGATGATGATGATGATGATGATGATGATGATGATGATGATGATGATGATGATGATGATGATGATGATGATGATGATGATGATGATGATGATGATGATGATGATGATGATGATGATGATGATGATGATGATGATGATGATATGAGGAGGAGGAGGAGGAGGAGGAGGAGGAGGAGGAGGAGGAGGCAGAGGAAGCAAAGGAGGCGTGATGAGGTAGGATGAGGAGCACTCTCCTCGCCCCACCGCGACCACATGAAAGCCCAGCAGTACCAGCCCTCATATACCTGCGGAGCGGGAATCCCCAGAACAGGATGGAGCTACAGCTGAGACCCCAACCCAGGGCGAGAGGGACGAAGGGATCACTGCAGGGGGGCCTCAGTGGCCTTCCGTGCTGGGCGGGCACCAGTGACGCAGAGTGGGGATGAGCAGCGCGAGAGCTCCCGCTAACCTCCGCTGGGGCCTCGCCCGTTCTAGCCAGTCCCTTGTGCCATCGCAGGGCGCAGCTTCGGGGCGATGAGAGAAGGCTGGACGAGGCCCTTTCCGGGGTGCTGCACCCCCGCCCCCACCCCAGCTCGGCTGCAGGACGCGGCCCTGCCAGCGGGGAGATGGGGGTGGGTGGGTGGGGGGGGGGGGCAATGGAGGATACGGGGAGACCCCTCTATCGGCCGAAGGACCCCAGGCCCCCTCAGGGGCGCAGCAGGGAGGAGGAGGAGGTGGAGGAGGAGGACGAGTGGAAACCCAAGACTCATCGTCGATGTTGGAGTGAACCCTCCTTCTAAGCTCTCTCTTCATAGGCCCCATGGGAACCCGTGAAACTCTTGCAACGTTTTAAGACGAGTGTGCGCGGCGCTAAGGCGAGAACTGCATTTTGAAAACCACCCGCTCTCAACCCGTGAAGCTCCTGCATATTTTCAAACGAATGTGTACGGCTCTACGGCGAGAGCCACATTTTGAAAGCGACCCTCCCTCAGTCCGTGAAGCTCGTGCAAATGTTCAGTAGAACGAATGTGCGCGGCGCTAAGGCGAGAGCCACACTTTGAAAACCACACGACCTCAATTCGTGAAACTATTGAAACATTTAAACATGAATGTGCGCGACGCTGCGGCGATGATCACATTTTGAAAACTACGTGCACTCCATCTGTGAAGCTGTTGCCAGCTTCGACGCTTCAGGGTCGTAAGTGGTGGGGGAGTCTCAGGCGAAAGGCCGGGCCCGTCCTTTCGACTGGCCTCGGGGTGCGACAGGGAGGAGTTATCTGTAAGGAGCGACGCAGGAGGAGGAGGAGGAGGAGGAGGAGGACGAGGCCGAGGACGAGGCCGAGGAGGAGGAGGAGGAGGTGTTGATCATGATGATGCTGATGCTGCTGTTGCTGCTGCTGATGATGATGATGATGATGGTGATGATGCTGATGATGATGATGAGGATGATGAGGATGATGAGGATGAGGATGAGGATGATGATGCTGACGATGCTGATGATGACGACGACGATGACGATGATGATGATGCTGATGATGCTGATGATGTTGAGGATGATGAGGATGATGCTGCTGATAATGATGATGCTGATGATTATGATGATGATTATGCTGCTGATGATGATAATGCTGCTGCTGCTGCTGATGATGATGATGCTGATGCTGATGATGATGATGATGATGGTGGTGGTGGTGGTGGTGATGATGATGATGGTGGTGGTGGTGGTGGTGATAATGCTGCTGCTGCTGATGGTGATGCTGATGATGATGATGATGATGATGATGATGATGATGCTGATGATGATGATGATGATGATGATGATGAGATGATGATGATGATGATGATGATGATGATGATGATGATGATGATGATGATGATGATGATGATGATGATGATGATGATGATGATGATGATGATGATGATGATGATGATGATGATGATGATGATGATGATGATGATGATGATGATGATGATGATGATGATGATGATGATGATGATGATGATGATGAGATGATGATGATGATGATGATGATGATGATGATGATGATGATGAGAGGAGGAGGAGGAGGGAGGAGAGAGGAGGGGAGGAGGAGGAGGAGGAGGAGGAGGAGGAGGAGGAGGAGGAGGAGGAGGAGGAGGAGGAGGAGGAGGAGGAGGAGGAGGAGGAGGAGGAGGAGGAGGAGGAGGAGGAGGAGGAGGAGGAGGAGGAGGAGGAGGAGGAGGAGGAGGAGGAGGAGGAGCGCGTGGTGGAAGCTCCCCCTAGGCACCCGGGAAGGCTTCGGAGCCCCCAGGCGGGTGTGTGCCCGCGCATCCCCAAAGTGGACTCCCTCCTGCCCGGGCTCTCGGGCACTTCCCCAGCAGGGCAACCATGCAGCGACCTGAGGACTCGGCGGAGAGATAACGGGAGAGCAGCGCCCATCCCAGCTCATCCCACCCAGCACGACCCCTCCTTGACGACAACGTCGGCGATGGCGGCGGCTGCAACTGCACGCACGCAGTTTCGTCCGACCTCAATTCGTCGCTGCTGCCAACACAGCGAGGCGTGCGGCCAGTGCAGCTTCCCGTCCCCGCCGGCCGCGTGCAGACTCAGATGCGCCAAGTTCAACAGACAAGTCCAAGGTTGCAGAGGGGCGGCGCCCTCCTGCCCACACCTTTCCCATGACCACCTGACCTGCCCGCCTGCACAACCAGGCACCAGGACAGGGGTGAACACCAACTCCGCGAAGCATGGGTTCCTTACAATACATGCCAGGTCTGCCACCCACGGAGAAACAGCAGAAAGGCAGCGAGAGGGTGGCGAGGAGGAGGAGGAGGAGGAGGAGGAGGAGGAGGAGGAGGAGGAGGAGGAGGAGGAGGAGGAGGAGGAGGAGGAGAAACAGGAGTTCCGTAGCCATTCTTGCTCAAGCCAATTTCTTGTTAGTTTTCGGACCATCTTGGCTCACTAGGCATGCCATGGCGCGTGTCAGGCATGGCGACGGGGGGTTCGGCCAAAGCTCGGCCGGCCGGCGGCGCCAGATGGCCGTCGCACCGCGAACGACGAGAGGCTCAGCATTGGGCCCGGCTCTCACGGGAGCGATCGGTATGGAAGCAAACAGCGCGGCTGCAATAATTGGAGTCGCTATGCAACGCCACGCCTGAGACAATACTGCGAAGGAGCGTCGCCTCCCATGCTCGCCGCCTCCCTGCACCAGGAGCTCCTGACGCGAGCTGGCGGAAGGCGCAGCGTGGGCCGAGGCTCAGCCGCCCAAGCAACTCCCACAGGGTCTCGAAGCTGAGGGCCGAAGCCGATGTCTTCGTGCCCCTCGAGCACGGCGCGATCCAGCCGCAGTACGGCCGCGAGGAGCAGCACCAGCAGCGCCAGTATTCGCCTGGGGTGGCCTACCCTTCGGCCCACTGCCTTCGCCGCGCGGCGGAGGCGGCGGCGCGCGCTGCCACAGTGCGCCGCAACAACGCCGAGCTCTTCGAGACCACAGAGAAGCAGGGCAGGCACCATAACACCTTCGATGCGGAGGCGAGCACCGCGAACGGCCAGGCGGGTTCCACGGAGGACGACGACCAGGAGGCCTACGGCAACCAGCTGCGCGCCGAGCGCAACCAGGGCAGGCACCAGAACACTTTCGAGGCGGGGGTGAGCACCGCGAGCGGCCAGGCCGGCTCCGCGGAGGACGACGACCAGGAGGCGAACGGCAACCAGCAGCACACCGAGCGCAACCAGGGCAGGCACCTGAACACCTTCGAGGCGGAGGCGAGCACCGAGAAAGCCTGGGCCGGCTCCGCGGGGGGCGACGGCCAGGGGGCCAACGGCGACCAGCAGCGCACCAGGACGGAGGCAGAGGACGGCTCCAACGACGCCCTGGAAGCGTGCGGCGACCAGCTGCGCGCCGCGGAGAAGCAGGGCAAGCACCATGACACCTTCGAGGCGGAGGTGCGCGCCGCGAACGGCAGGGCGAGCTCCGTTGAGGACGACGCCCAGGAGGCCCGCGGCAACCAGCAGCGCACCGAACGCAACCAGGGCAGGCGCCAGAACACCTTCGAGGCGGAGGTGCGCGCCGCGAACGGCCAGGCCAGCTCCGCAGAGGGCGCCGACCAGGAGGCAACCGGCAGCGCTCCGAGCGCAACCAGCGCAAGCACCATAACGCCTTCGAGGCGGAGGTTTGCACCGCGAAGGGCCAGGCCAGCTCCGCGGAGGACCGCGACCAGGAGGCCAACCAACGGCAACCAGCAGCGCGCCAAGACGCCCGAGACGCGCGCGGCGACCCGCTGCGCGCCGCGGAGAACCATGGGAGGCGCCAGAACACCCTCGAGGCGGAGGTGCGCGCCGCGAACGGCCAGGCCGGCTCCGCGGAAGACGACGACCAGGAGGCTAACGGCAACCAGCAGCGCTCCGAGCGCAACCGGGGCAGGTACCAGAACGCCTTCGAGGCGGAGGTGAGCACCGCGAACGGCCAGGCCGGCTCCGCGGAGGACCGCGACCAGGAGGCTAACGGCAACCGGCAGCGCGCGGAGGACGTGCGCGGCGACCAGCTGCGCGCCGTGGAGAACCAGGGCAGGCCCCAGAACACCTTCGAGGGGGGGGGGTGCGCGCTGCGAACGGCCAGGCGCGCTCCGCGGAGGACGGCGCCCTGGGGGCCAACGGCAACCAGCTGCGCGCCGAGCGCAACCAGGGGAGACACCTGAACATCTTCGAGGCGGAGGTGAGCACCGCGAACGGCCAGGCTGGCTTCGCGAAGAACGACGACCAGGAGGCTAACGGCAACCAGCTGCGCGCCGAGCGCAGCCAGGGCAGGCGCCGGAACACCTTCGAGGCGGGCGCGAGCAATGGGGGTGCGCAGGAGGGCCCCGCGCGGTGGGGGGCCGCGTAAACAACCCCCAACTCTCCGAGCGCGAGAAGGAAAAGCGGCGACGACGAAGAGAAAAGAGGGGGGACGACGAGGAGACGACTGACGCAGCCATCGCTCGGGAGAGCGGCCTAATCCCTCCATCTGTACGCAGGCAGTGGGCAGTCTTCGAGGATGACCTCGAGGACAGGCTCGAGGGGGATCGCGAGGACAACCTCGCCACTTCGGAACGCCATGCGATCCTGCGCGCGCGCTTTGCCCAAGTGCAGATGGTGGGCGCTCCCGCCGCGTTCGCCGCGCTCTCGACGGATCAACGGACCTCCTTCCCTGTGATTTCGATCGCCGAGCTCTCGGCTTACGTGAGCTTTCGACGATGGCGCTCGAGAGGAGGCGGCGCCGTGGGAAGGACCGACAATCTGAGCGCCGTGCTCGCAGCTGACGCGACGTGGGCGCCCCTCCTGCAATTCGATCAGAACGAGGCCCACGGTTAGCGAGAGACGGGCCACAGAAGGCGCGATTAGCTCCACGACGAGAGCTGCTACGAGAACGCGCGGCCCCAGGACGACTCGCATGGCGAGCGCTCCGACGGCCGCCGCAAGGCCTCGACGCCCCCGCGGGGCGAGGGGGTAGGCCCGGGGGCGCGGCCCACCCTGGCAGGGCGAGGGGGGCCCAAGGTCGCGAAGGACCGATTTGGCCAGCACCTGGACTACGACCTCTGAGCGAGGGGGGAGTTCGAGCCCCATCGCAGGGGCCGGGGCTATCCTCCACCTCCACCAACCTCGGGTCCTCGGGAGGATATGGGAAGGGTGGAGGCAGGTGTAGGTCCCCCAGGTGATCGGCTAGCGGCTTGATGGGAGTCACCCATTCCGCCGTCAGTGTGCGAGGAGGAGGAGGAGGCAGGAGGAGCAGGACGAGGAGGAGGAGGAGGAGGAGAAGGAGGTGGAGGAATAGAGGACCAGTGTAAGCACAACATTCATCAACGATGTTGGAAGAGGTCCCTTAAAAGGTCCCTACAAGGGTTCTTAGGCCGCTCATGCCTCTCCAAGCCCCCCCTCAAAGGCCCCTCACAGGCCCCTCAAAGGCCCCTTTTCCAAGCTCCCTCTTCATATGCCCCTACACGGATTCATCTCCACTGAGGAAAGTGCCCCGTTGGGAGACAACCATTTGAAGGTCCTGGAGCGTGCCCAAACACCATTCTCGGGGTTCCAGCGCCACGAATCAATTTGGCTGCTGCGTCTTGACAATCCTCAATCGTGCCAGAACGCCGTTCCTGATTCTTCAACACCGCGAGTCAACGTACTTGTTGCGCTTTGACACTCCTGAATCCTTCCACGTAGGTCGTGCGAATCCGTGAACCTCATGCACAGTTTTTAGACGAGTGTGCGCGGCGCTAATGCGATAACCGCATTGTGAAACAGCAGCCGCCCTGAACCAGTGAAACTCTGGCACATTTTTAAGCCGAGTGTGCGCGGCGCTAAGGCGAGAGCCACACTTTGAAAACCACCCGCCCTCAATCCGTGAGGCTCTCACAACATTGTGTAAGACGAATGTGCGCGGCGCTAAGGCGAGAGCAGCATTTTGGAAGCGGCCCGCCCCCAATCCGTGAAATTCTGGTAAATTTTACAGAACATGTGCGCGGCGCGAGGCGAGAGTCACATTGACCCGCCCTGAATTTGTGAAGTTTTGGGAATTTTATAAGACTCCTGTGCGCGGCGTTTAGATGAGAGCCACATTTTGGAAGCGACCCGCCCCCCATCTGTGAAATTGTCGTCACTCAGCAAAGGTTCAGGATCTTAATTGGTCCAGAAATCTTGGGCGAAACGCCCAGCCCGCCCTTCCGACGATGGCCTCGGGGTGAGACAGGGAGGGGTTATCTACAAGGAAAAAGAATTGAGGAGGAGGAGGGAGGAGGGAGGAGGGAGGAGTGAAGAGGGATGCGGAAGAGGGAGGTGGAGGACGAGGAACCCCCCCTGGCGCGGGCACCGCCCAGGAGCATTCAGGATCACGCCCTGGGCCGGGCGGTGAGCAGCCGGAACCAGGCGCGCGTGGGAGCACTCAATCCTGGAAGCTTCGGAGGCGACGATAAGGGCATTCCTCGTATCCCTCCTGGATCTTCGCCGCAGACATGGACAATCGGCGCCCTGGCATACATGTGCAGCCCTCCCCTGGGCTGGTCGCCCCTGTTGTCACCTCCGAAGACTGCGTGAAGGTCGGGGGCAACGTCGGGGGGGCAGAGGCGCTGGGGGGGGGGCAACGGGGGCGCCCCGATCGTCCCGATCGGCTGCCAGAGGCCAGAGGTATGACCTTGGAACAATCGGGGACAAGAATAGGCCCAGGGTGAACTCGGGCCTGTCCAGGCCCAGGGTGACCTTGGGCACGTCCTCTACAAGCGGAATCTTCAAACATAGTTTTTCCCAACCATCCTGTGGTGTTGGGTCCTCGTTTTGAAGAGACGGTGCCCCGCGTTCCCTCCTTCTCCTCCCGCTGCCCCCTCCCTCCTGCCACCATCATCATCATCGTCATCATCATCATCATCATCATCATCATCATCATCATCATCATCGTCATCATCAACATCACCATGATATTCGGCGTCATCATCAGCATCACCCTCCGCATGCCTCTATTTCGGCACACCCCTCACACGGTTCGTTGTCCCGTAGGGAGCTCCACCGAAGCCCCCAGTGGCAGGGTTCGCATGGCGGCCCCGCCCCATTTTGGCGCACCCCTCACACGGTTCGTGGCGCCATAGGGAGCTCCACCGAAGGCCCCAGTGGCAGGGTTCGCATGGCGGCCCCGCCCCATTTTGGTGCACCCCTCACACGGTTCGTGGCCCCATAGGGAGCTCCACCGAAGGCCCCAGTGGCAGGGTTCGCATGGCGGCCCCGCCCCATTTTGGCGCACCCCTCACACGGTTCGTGGCCCCATAGGGAGCTCCACCGAAGGCCCCAGTGGCAGGGTTCGCATGGCGGCCCCGCCCCATTTTGGCGCACCCCTCACACGGTTCGTGGCCCCATAGGGAGCTCCACCGAAGGCCCCAGTGGCAGGGTTCGCATGGCGGCCCCGCCCCATTTTGGCGCACCCCTCACACGGTTCGTGGCCCCATAGGGAGCTCCACCGAAGGCCCCAGTGGCAGGGTTCGCATGGCGGCCCCGCCTCATTTTGGCGCACCCCTCACACGGTTCGTGGCCCCATAGGGAGCTCCACCGAAGGCCCCAGTGGCAGGGTTCGCATGGCGGCCCCGCCCATTTTGGCGCACCCCTCACACGGTTCGTGGCCCCATAGGGAGCTCCACCGAAGCCTCAGTGGCAGGGTTCGGCGGCCCCGCCCCATTTTGGCGCACCCCTCACACGGTTCGTGGCCCCATAGGGAGGTCCACCGAAGGCCCCAGTGGCAGGGTTCGCATGGCGGCCCCGCTCCATTTGGCGCACCCCTCACACGGTTCGTGGCCCCATAGGGAGCTCCACCGAAGCCCCAGTGGCAGGGTTCGCATGGCGGCCCCGCCCCATTGGCGCACCCCTCACACGGTTCGTGGCCCCATAGGGAGCTCCACCGAAGGCCCCAGTGGCAGGGTTCGCATGGCGGCCCCGCCTCATTTTGGCGCACCCCTCACACGGTTCGTGGCCCCATAGGGAGCTCCACCGAAGGCCCCAGTGGCAGGGTTCGCATGGCGGCCCCGCCCCATATTGGCGCACCCCTCACACGGTTCGTGGCCCCGCAGGGACATAGGGAGCTCCACCGAAGGCCTCAGTGGCAGGGTTCGCATGGCGGCTCCGCCCCAGTGTGGCGCACCCCTCACACGGTTCGTGGCCGCATTGGGAATTCCTTTTGCTTCGTCCCACCTGCCCTGCGGTATTCACGTTTGCATATGGTTGGGTCCTTCGCCAGGATAATTTAATTGTTAGTCTGGGGCGATGTTTTACCTGTCTTGGAGTATTTTTGAATACGTTGTGATACTTTTATTTTTCGTCCAGAATCCGCCTGTAGGGGGACATGCCCGACCCAAGCCCAGGTGGGGATGCATCGGGGCCCGGGAGCCCATCCCGCCCAGGAGCGTCCGGATTCGCGGTCGGGGGCCTATCGCCGATCTATCGGCGACGTATCGCCGATTCCAGCCCGATGTTTTTGTCGCCCTCTCTCGATGCATTGGCGGCTCTGGATCTGGGCGGCGCCAGTACTCGTCCTCCTCCTCCTCCTCCTCCTCGCCATCCTTCCCCCTTTTCCTCACTCCCTCCCTCTCCCTCCCCTGCCTCGTCCTCCCTCCTCGTGCTCCTTCCCCTCCTCCTCCTCCTCCTCCTCCTCCTCCTCCTCCTCCTCCTCCTCCTCCTCCTCCTCCTCCCCGCGTCCCCCCTTCTGCCCCTCGCGCCTGGCCAGGCCCGCGCCAGAGTTGGGGATGTGGCCCAAGGTGGGATCAGAGAGCAAGCCCAGCTCGAGGCCGATTTTTCTCTCCCCCAGGGGCCGCCTACAGCGACTTTCCTCAGGCCATTCCATTCCCCAGATTCCTCGGGTCGTGACAAAAATCACGACGAGAGCTTTTTGTAAGTTCTGGGCCTCCAGGGGCCCCTCACCAGGCCCGGGGACTGTCAGAAGATTGCTTGGGATGAGAAAGGGGTTCTCCTGGGGAAGCGGTCCAGATCTCTGGGGTCACGCTACGAACAAAATCACTACGTTGGAATTCTGGGTTCCTCTGGCCCCGCCAGGGAGTCGGGGTCAATTGCGCAGAGGCGGGCTTTGGCCCAAGCTGGGGCCGAGCCATTTTTTGTCGGCAGCGGGCCCAGCTCGAGGCCGATGTAGTGTCCTTCGGCCCATCCCGCCACTGCGCCTGGGTTGCGGGTCAGGGTTCTCAGGGATGCTTCTTCGGGTCTCTTCGGGGCGCTCTCGGGGACCTCTTTGGAGCAGTTTTGGGGCCTCTTGGGAGCATCCTGGGAGCCTCTTGGGAGCCTCTTGGGACCATCTTTTGTCGGGAGCGGGCCGAGATTTCCCTCCTCCAGGGGCCGTCCGACGCGACTCTCCTCTGGCCTCGCCTCTGACCCTGGCCCCGCCTCTGACCCTGCGCCCCCCGTCGATCTGCGAGGGCCCCGGGGCCCGAAACCGGGCCAGTCCGCCCGGCTCGAAGAGAGCGAGGCGCCAGGATCGAAGGGCCTGCTCGCAGAGGTGGCTCGGCCGGGGCTCGGGCTCGTCGGGGCCAGCGGGCCACCTCTCGGGGGGCGGACGGGGGCAGCGCACGGGCCCGCGAACGACCACTGAGACGAAGCCAGGACGAGGAGGGAAAGTCGAGGGAGGATAGATCGAGAATGTCTCGGGCGCCGGGGCCTTTTCAGAGCGTTCCGGAACGCTCTGAGAGCGTTCTCGAGCGCTCTGAGAAGGCCCCAGCGCCCGAGACATTCTCCAGGTCTGTCCTCCCTCGATTTTCCCTCCTCGTCCTGGCTTCGTCGTAGTGGTCGTGCGTTGGCTCGTGCGCAGGGGGGGCAGCGAGGGCTGCCGAAAAGGAGCCCTTCCGGGCCCCTAAAGGGCGCTTTCGGGCCCCTGAAGGGGCCCTTTCGGGCCCAGAATGTGCCCTTTTGGGGGCCGAAATGGGCACCTCTCTCCCCCGCCATTTATCGCCCCCATTGATTCGTGCCCAACGCCTTGACCTCAGGGTGTGTCCGCAGAGGTGGTCGAACGCTCTCAGAGCCTTCCGGAACGCTCTGAGAAGGCCCCAGCGCCCGAGACATTTTCGATATATCCTCCCTCGACTTTCCCTCCTCGTCCTGGCTTCGTCTCAGTGGTCGTTCGCTGGCCCGTGCGCTGCCCCCGTCCGCCCCCCGAGAGGTGGCCCGCTGGCCCCGACGAGCCCGAGCCCCGGCCGAGCCACCTCTGCGAGCAGGCCCTTCGATCCTGGCGCCTCGCTCTTTTTCGGCTACACGCAAGAGTGACCCTGGGTAAGAGTGACCTTTGGTGCGCGGCTTTTAGGGGGCCGCGGGGAGACCAAACCTGGGCGCGCAAGCCGCTGGTACCGCTTCGTCTTAGTGGTCGTTCGTTGGCTCGTGCGCTGCCCCCGTCCGCCCCCCGAGAGGTGGCCCGCTCCCCCGGCGGGGACCTGCCGCTGGCGGACCTGCAGTCGAGCGCCCGCCTGGCGCGCCCCTGCCGCTCCCCTCCTCCTCCTCCTCCTCCTCCTCCTCCTCCTCCTCCTCCTCCACCTCCTCCTCCTCCTCCTCCTCCTCCTCCTCCTCCTCCTCCTTCTCCTTCTTCCCTCCTCCTCCTCCTCCTCCTCCTCCTCCTCCTCCTCCTCCTCCTCCTCCTTGTCCTCCTCCTCCTCCTCCTCCTTCTCCTTCTTCCCTCCTCCTCACCTCCTCCTCCTCCTCCTCTTTTGGGGGCGTCCACGATCGAAGAAAAACGCCATAAACATGAACTTTTGGCGTTCCGCGCGGTGCTCCCCCCCAGCGGCGCCTCCGGCGCCGCCCCTGGCGCGCTCCGCGCGCCAGGGAGGGGGGTCCAGCGCGGATCCAAGAGCTCCGTGCGGAGCTTTTCTTTTTTTTTTGTTGTGTGTGTGTGTGTGTTAGTTTTTTGTTTTTTTGTTTTCTTCTTCTTCTGGAAGGGGATACTCCAGGGACAAAATACATGGGACGATTTGGGACATACATGCTGGAGGTGAAGATCGGCATATGCACAAGTCGGCGGCGCGCAGAGGGTGGTATGGGTGAGGGGGGGAGGCTTATCGGAAACACCCTTAGGGCCGGTGCCTTCTAAGAGGCAGCCTCCTTCCGAGAAGCCTTCCCCCCTCCCCCTGCCCGCCCTGTGCGCGCCGCCAGCAGGAGGGGAATATCGGCACAGCACAGCACAGGAGCAGATTTTCCGTTGGATGTGTGGGACGCTGTGGGAGATGGAGGGGCGAGAGGAGGCCGCAGGGGAGACCCCAGGGAATGTGTATCAAGGTTTTGTGAGTCCTGGAACTGCGTCGATCTGTTTGTGTCTCCTCGGGCCCCTTCAGTGAAGCGTTTCTTCGGCGGCGCGCTCCAGGGGGAAGGCGGACGGGGGCGGGTCTCCTCAGAGGGCTCCGAAGGCCCCTGGCCTGGAAAGGACGCTCTCGAATCAGGAGGGGGAAAAGCACACAGGCACAATTCATCGTCAGGAAAACATGGAAAAATTGGGGAAGTGGAGGGCAAGACGACACTCTAGAAAGCATTGGACAATCTGGGGACCCCCCCGATTTGTGTCTATTTATTTCTGTGTCCCTGGGCCCTTTATTTGCGTTTTCTCTGAAGGCACAGGGGGCTTCCCAGAAGGCTGGAGGGCTGCTGAGAGGCCTCGCCGCTTTCGGAGAAGGCCTGCTCCACCTCGCTCCCCCCCCCCCTGGCTTGGCTGGAAAGGGCCTCGCCCTCGACGATCGAAGGAGCTGAGACCTCTCTTCCTCGGCGGACGGCGGCGGAAGGTCCGCGGACGTCAGCGGAAGCCAAACGGTGGCGGGTCCGCAGGCAGCCGGCGGAGGCCGGCGGAGGTACGGGATGCGCCGGCGGCGGCTGGCGGAAGCGGACGAGCTGATCGTTTCCACGGGCGTTTTTCTTTCTCGGTTTCGGCCCTCGGGGGCCGACGTCAGGCCCCAGATCAAGGGGCCCAAGGACACACACACACACAAATCCCAGGTTTCCCCATTTTGTGTGTATATATATATATATGTGTATATATATATATATATATATATATATATATATATATTTAGGGTTTTCGTCTTCCCCCCCCACTTCCCATATTTTCGAATCTTTTCCTGGGAGGCGACGATTCATTGTGCCTGCGTGTTTTTTTCTCCCTCCTGGCCAGGGCAATAAAAAGACGGACCCGGGGCGCGAAACGACCCTTGGGGGAGGGGTTCGAGGCCTGTTGGTGCCGCGGGCGGACTTCACATCGGCGGACGTCTTCGGCCACGCGCAGAGGGGGGTATGGGGGAGGGGGGAAGGCTTCTTTCGGAGGCGGATAGACCTCCTACCCTGACACGTCGATTAAGGAATTGGCCGTTTTCGGTTCGCGAGAGGGCGTCGCGGCCGTCATTTTTGCGGGTCCAGGTCCGTCGGTTTCGGTCCCAGGCCGTTTTCACTAAAGGGAGGTTTACTAAAGGGAGGTTTGTCCACCGCCGATTCTTAGAAGCACCCCTGCTTCTTAGAAGGCGCGGGCCTCCTCTACACATGTGGGGCCAGCGCCTTCTGGGAAGCGGCCCCCTTCTAAGGAGCCTTCCCTCCTCCCCCTACCCCTCTCTGCGCGCCGCCAATGTCTGGGAAGGGGGTCTGATCAGATGGGGTCGGTGGGTCGTGCCGCATCGCCGATGCCTCGTCGATGAGGCTCTCGATTCGGAGCCCGATCTTCTCCATCCAGACGTCCGATGCATCGGCGATGCGGCGCGCTGCTCCAGCCCCATCTGCTCGGACCCTGGGCGGCCTTCACAAGAGAGGGGCTGATGACCCCAGACCTCCGACCACATGTTTTTTCAGCCGTGACGTGTTTCCTTCCTTTCGGCCTCTGGGGGCCGAGTTCGGATCCTGGGGCCAAGGGAAAGGATCGGGAGCCTTGGGGCCGCGGATTCAAGACGTCGGATCGGAGGCTGTCTGGCATTACAGCGCGTGTGTATCATGGCCGGGGCCATGGAATCTCCTCGATTTCACGGCCGCCTTCTCTTCCCTCGGCACGTGCTCTGGCCTCTCTCTTGTCCGCGCACATGCCTCTGGTTATGGTGTGCTAACCCCCCTCTTTCTTGCCCCCCTCCTTTTGTGGCGGACCAACGCTATGAAATCTCAATCCAGAGTTAGCAGGTTTACCAGACTCATTTTTTGGTGTTTCTTTTTTTATGTATGCTTAGTTTCCCCCTTCTCTTGGCCAAATGCATGTATTCCTATTTTGTGCATCAGGTGCCATGAGGCGCCGCACTGCCAACGCGTAGCCGTTTCTCATACATCATGGGCAACTCCTGCAGAAAGGACGCGGCTCTCTCTCCCGAACCAGGCCTGCTCGAAACCCCTTCCCAGGACACCGCCGAAGGGTGGGACTTTCGGGACGTGGGCTGCAACTTCCGTGGGCGTCCTCTTTTGCACGTGCGTGTGACGGCGAAGTCGGGCAGAGAGAACGGGATGGCCCTACGTAATTATTTGTTTGCGCTCGCGGAGCCATTGTTCTCTGGGCAGAAGCCCACTCGGGCCGTGCCGTCGCGTGCACGCGTCCTCGGGCCTGAGCGAGCAGCTGGGACTGAAGGCCTGACGCTGGCCGTCGTGCAAGCAAGGCCTGGAGGACCTCGTCCTGGATCCCCCCGAAGGGGCACCCCAGGAGATTTTCAGAGCGCTCGGCGAGCATTCCCAGCCCCCGCTTGGACGGGGTCGCAGCCGCCAGTGGCGGGGGGCGCGCGGAGTGCTGGACCCGCGAACGCAGCCCCCAGGGCCTTCGTGCTGGGCGCCTCTGGCTTGACCGAGGCCGACCTCGCCCTGGTAAACCTCGCTGGGGCCCGACCCCCCCCCCCGAAGCAGAGGAGGTTCAGGAGGGAACCAAAACACAGAGACACAAGGAATCGTCGACCCCCCAGAAAAGATGGGAAAACATGGGAAGTGGGGGGGAAGACAAAAACCCAGGGAATGTGGGAAAATATGGGGAATCTTTTCATCTGTGTGTATTTCTTCGTGTGTCCCTGGGCCCCTTCAGGTGCCCGAGCCGGCCGGCCTCCGAGGCGGGAGGCGGCAGCGCCTCGGGCCTCGAGGCGCAGGACCGGCTGGCCCACGACCGGCCTCGGGCCGCTGCCTCCTCTCACCTCGCGCCCCTCCTCCCCCTCCTCCCCCCCCTTCCCCCCTCCCCTCCCATTCTCCGCCCTCCTCCTCCCCTCCCCCTCTTCCTCCTCCTCCTCCCCCCTCCGTCTGCTACTCCCCGCTCCCCTCCCTCGCTTTCCCCGCCGTCCCCTCCCCCCCCCCCGCCCGAGGCCACCGCCTTCCCCGGCTTCGGCGTCACCGTCGGCGGCAGCTGCCTCAGCCCGCGGGCGCAGCCCTGGGACTGCCCCACCGGGCCCGCGGACCGGACGCCCCTTGAGCTCCTCATGGCCAGGCGCCGCCGCCGCCGCCGTGCAGGAGGGAAAGAAACACACAGACACCATGAATCGTCGATCCCCCAGAAGATATGGGAAAACATAGGACGTGGGGGGGAAGGCAGAAGCCCAGAAAACTTGGGAGAAAATAGGGGGAATCGTTTTATTAGTGTGTACTTATTTGTGTGTCCCTGGGCCCCTTCAGCCGTGCAGGACCGAGGAGGAGGAGGAGGAGGAGGAGGTGGAGGAGGAGGAGGAGGAGGAGGAGGAGGAGGGAGGAGGGAGGAGGGAAGGAGGGAGGAGGAGGAGAGGAGGAGGAGAGGAGAGGAGGGAGGGAGGGAGGAGAGGAGGAGGAGAGGAGGAGGGAGGAGGAGGAGGAGGAGGAGGAGGAGGAGGAGGCGGAGGTGAGGAGGAGGGAGGAGGAGGAGGAGGAGGAGGAGAGGGAGGAGGAGGAGGAGGAGGAGGAGGAGGAGGAGGAAGGAGGAGGGGGAGGAGGTGAGGAGGAGGAGGAGGAGGAGGAGGAGGAGGACCGACGCCTCGAGGCCCCGAGCTTGCGGGGCTGCTGCGCGTGCTGTCTCGGCGGCTTCAGAGCCTCGGGCCTCCGGGGGAGGCTCGGCCTATTGCGGCCACGGCCCGGCTCCCCTCGACGTTCGCACCCCTCGTGGCAAGATTCAGGAGGGGAAACAAAAACAGAGACACAATGAATCGTCGATCCCCCAGAAAATATGGGAAAATATGGGAAGTGGGGGGGAATACAAACACCCAGAAAATATGGGAAATTATGGCGAGTCCTGTTATTTGTGTGTATTTATTTGTGTGTCCCAGTGCCCCTTCATCGACGTTCGCACCCCTCGTCGTGGCAAGATCGCACGCCAGGAGAGGTCCAGGGGCTCGATGGTCCAGGGGTCGATATTTGACTGGGGGTCGTCGTCGTCGTCGTCGTCGTCGTCGTCGTCGTCGTCGTCGTCGTCGTCGTCGTCGTCGTCGTCGTCGTCGTCGTCGTCGTTATCGTTCCCTCCTTCCCTCCTTTCTCCACCTCTCTCCTCCCCGTCGTCGCCGTCCTCTTCCTTCTTCTCGTCCTTTGTCCTCCTCTTTTGCCCCCTGGTCCTCCCTCTTCCCTCCTCGCTCCGACCCTATTGGAGTCAAGTTTTGTGCTTCCTGCTGCTTCACTGCCACTACTGACGGCAGGAGGCTGGCTTCTGAGCGTTTGGCTAAAGGCCAGAGGGTCCTATCCGGGTAGGGTCATGAAAATCTCGCCAGAATTGAGAAAAATTGGTTTCCTTCTAATAGTTGGCCTCCTGTGGCCCTTCTTGGCTCCCAGGGCGGATCGAGCCGTGGCGATCGCGGGTGCTCCTGGTGGGGTCCCTGGACCGTATCTCGGGCCCCCTCCCACCGACGAGCACCTGGCTCGGTCTGCTGTGCACAGTCGCACAGTCCCCGAGCCCTGGCCAGCGACGTAAGCTGGTCGAGGAGGCTCCTCCCGTCCCCGCAGCTGCCTCCGAGTGGGCGCCGGACGAGGACAGGCGCGCCTCCCCGGCTGCCGCCGCCGCCGCCGCTCTCTCCCCTGCAGCCGAGCAAGTGGCCCTCTCTGTTGTCGCAGGGGCCCTTCGAGCTGAGGGAGAGGGAGGTTGCGCGCGCGCGCGCGGTCGTGCAGCAGGACGAGGGTGACGGTAGCGGTAGCAGTGACTGAGGAGCGCACGTGCGTGCGCACCAGGAGAATCCAGGATGATCCCTTCTACCCTGCCCTCCCTCTGCCGTTTCCCGTCGTCCTCGTTCTCATATTTTCCCTCGTCCCTCTTTCCTCAGCCTCCCTCCTCCCAATTCTGATAACTGTTTGATTTATGCTGCTTCTGATGACGAGGAGGGTGAGGAGCAGCGGGAGGAATCACATATGCTCCCCAAGGCTCGTTGGCTACGTATCCCGTTAGCTTGCCAATCCTCTCCGCTGAGCATCTTCCATGTGGATGACGAGGAGGGGGTTCGAGAATTCGACGAAGAGGACGATGACGACGAGGAGGAGGAGGCGGAGGAGGAGGAGGAGGAGGAGGAGGAGGAGGAGGATAAGATGGAGGATTAGGAGGGAGGACGTGGTGGGAGTAGAATGTGCATAAGGGGGAGAGTGGCGATGCTGATGCTGCTGATGCTGCTGCTGCTGATGATGCTGATGGTGATGATGATGCTGATGCTGCTGCTGCTGATTATGATGACGATGACGATGCCCACGATGATGCTGATGATGATGACGATGATGATGCTGCTGAAGCTGATTATGCTGATGATGAGGATGACGATGATGCTGCTGCTGCTGATGATGATGCTGATGATGATGACGGTGGTCACTACGATGGTGGCGATGACGCCGATGATGACGATGACGATGATGCTCCTGATAGTGATGATGATGCTGCTGATGATGATGACGATGACGATAATGGTGATGCTGACGATGATGGTGATGATGATGACGATGATGACGATGATGATGATGATGACGATGATGATGCTGATGATGGTGATGATGATGACGGTGGTGGTGGTGGTGATGATGATGGTGATGGTGATGATGATGTTGGTGGTGATGATGGTGGTTGCTGTGATGGTCATGATGATGATGCTGATGCTGCTAATGATGATTGTGAGGAGGAGGAGGAGGAAGAAGAGGAGGATGACGAGGATGTCCGAGGATGATGAGGATGCGTTCGTGGAACAGGATCAGGAAAAGGGAGTAGGATGTAGATATTATGATTATGGTGGCATGACTGATACGGGGTGAGTGGGGAGGAGTGAGAAGGAGGAAGAGACATAGGCAGATGATGATGAGGAGGATGACATTGATGCTGTTGATGATGAAGACGACGGTGGTGATGATGCTGCTGTTGATGATGATGATGATGACGACGACGATGATGCGGATGAGGAAGATTAAACTTGTGATGATGATGATGCTGATACTGGTAATGATGATGATGATGATGATGATGATGATGATGATGATGATGATGATGATGATGATGGTGATGATGATGATGATGATGATGATGATGATGATGATGATGATGTGGCTGATGCTGATGATGACGATGTTGTTGATGATGCTGATAATGCTGATGATACTTGTGATAATGATGATGATGCTGATGATGCTGATACTGATGATGATGATGATGATGATGATGATGATGCTGATGATGATGATGATGATGATGAGACGGAAGGGGGAGGAGAAGAGGAGAAGGGACGATGAAGGGATGAGAAGGATGAGGAGGATGCGCTCAACGAGCACCGCCCTACGATGAGACAGGTGCAACACGAGGAGGGACGAGCAGGACACGCATACTGCTGATAATCAGGATAAAGGCACAGAGCATGATGATGAAGAGGAGGAGGGGAGGCGGATCAACAGAATAAGAGGATGGAGGAGAAGGACGATGACGACGAAGAGGAGAAGGAGGACGACCAGGATTTGGGATGGCGGCGGCGACGATGATGATGACGATGAAGAAGGCGACGATGGCGATGGTGATGGCGATGACGATCATGACGACGACGATGATGATGATGATGATGATGATGATGATGATGATGATGATGATGATGACGATGCTGATGCTGATGATGCTGATGATGGTGATGATATGATGCTGATGATGATGTTGATGGCGATCATGATGACGATGCTGCTGCTGATGATGACCATTATGATGACGATGACGACGACGACGACGGCGACGATGATGATGATGCTTTTGATGCTGACGATGATGCTGCTAATGATGATGATGCGGATGATGATGCTGGCGACGACGCCGACGATGATGATGATGCTGATGCTGATGCTGATAATGATGCTGATGACTACAATGATGCTGATGCTGATGATGAGGATGACGATGCGGATACTGATGTTGTTGATGATGAGGTGGTCGTTGAGGACGAGATGAGGAAGCTTATGAGGACGGGGGTAATGATGATACTGCGTATGTTGGGGATTGCGAGGATGTTGATGATGATTGGATGTGCGTCACATTATCGCTCCCCTATCGTAGCCGCCCCCGACGTCATTTTGGCTCAAGCTGCTTTGGCTCAGCGAGCCAAACCAGGGTGTATGCTTCGCTCCAGCCCGTTCGCCGCGATTGCCGCCTCGCTGGGCGCCTTCGTCGGCTCGTGGCTGGGCTCCCCTGAGCCGGCGCCGCCGGCTGCCGACGAGCGCGTCGGCCACTGCGCGTGGGAGGAGGCCGCCTGCCCTCCTTGTCCCGCGTGCGCCCCGCCGGCGTGCCCGGCGTGCCCGGCGCCTGTGGTGCCGGCGTGCCCGGCGCTGGTCGCGCCGGCCTGCCCGTCGCTCAGCTGCGGAGGCGGCTGGACGGGCGCGGGGTGGGCCCTCGGCGGCCTTGTCATCGGCGCGCTCGGCCTGTACGGGGCCCGCGCCTGCCGGCTGTGGGGTCACGGCCGCGTCGCTGGGGCTGCCGCGGGCGGCGCCAGCTTTGGCGAGGGCCCGGCCGCCGCCCTCCAACCTCTCGAGCCTGGCCGTCCTCTCCGTGCTGCTGGGAGCCCTCCTCTGGCGCTCACTGCGGCGGGCGCGACCTCGCCGTCGGGTTCGACGACACCATCGGAGGTTGAGACCTGGCGGCCGCGGAGCCGCAAGCTGTGATGGCACAAGTGGCGCTGGACATCGAGCCGCCCCAAGTGGCGATCAACTACGACGACGACCCGAACTTTCGGTGGCACCACCGCGTATTGCTGGCAAAGCTTCCAGATGGCGCGAAGTGGGCGGGGGCGACGCCCACCCACTCGGTGCAGGTGATCGACCTCGCGGGGCACCAGGTCGTCCCCCTCACGCGGGGCTGCCCGGTGCCCGACCGGGTTCGGAACAATGTGTTCCTCTTCGACCCGCTCACGGAGGAGGAGCTGGCGGAGCTGCAACGCCAGGCCACAGCGCTGGCGGGGCTCCTGGGCGGCGTGGTGCCCGCTCCTGGGGCGGCGCAGGCGCAGTGGGTGGTGGCGGACCCCGGCGCCGACTCGT